TCTGCTTCCGGTTTCAGGCTGCATGGCAGAGGGCTGAGCTGTGATAAATGCAGCTCAGGAAACCAAATTAGCCCCCTCGCTTACAGATAAAATGGACGCAATGTTGAAACAATGTTGCATTTTTCTGGAATGTGAATTCGTAAATTGCTGAAATTAGGGAAGTGTTTTCCTAATATTTCCTCTCTTTCTGTTCCTCTTTCAGGATGCGTTAAAATCAAATTGCTTGATGGGTAAGTAGATGATCTTTTTACAGCTGGCTCAGCGTCACGTTCGTTTAATTTTCACCTACTTCCTGCTCAGTCTTCTAGCCCACCAGCACGGCGGGGGTCTGAGCACAGCAGGTCTTGGCTAACCTCCGGGTTGGTGGAGAGAGTCAGGGCCTCACCTGGCCAGTGTTTGAGCCTTCGCACGCAGCCGACTCAGTTATTTCTGATCAGTGGTCATGCGGTTTATTTCGTGATAAGTGCAGTATAAAGTGCATTTCATTTTTGGAAAATTTCATGCTTTAGATTCTATTAAAACAAAATCATTCTTTGTGAGATGCTTGCTGCACAGTGAGATGCTTTGCTGAATCTGCAGAGTCCCTTGACCAGTCTCAGATTTTAAACTTGGCTTTCTCCTGATGATCTCCTTGGTTGTGTTGGCTGTGTGACTTGGGCTATTGACATGAGCACAATATCTGAGAGGAGGCTCTTCAGCCCACCCTGCCTGTTTGGCGAACTGCTGCTCCGTTAGTATGGAAGCATGTTCTTCTGCATAAGCAGTCAATGTTTCTGTGAACATCAGATTTTTTCCTTCTGCTGCCATCACTAGTTGCACCATAAATAAAGATGAATGGGCATACTGTATATACCTTGGTCTTATCTGACCATAAAACTGGCCTGGTGCAGATAGTCAGTGTCATAAAACGTATCCATGACATTCATTGTTTTCATCCCATATTTATCACAAATACAAGTTGCTTGACTGTACAGAATAGTTTTGATAAAAAAAAAACTTAAAAATCCCAGAAGTAATTGGACTGTTAGAAAGATTGTATTCGCACCTGTGTAGTACGTATCGGTCCTCTGTGGGACTACCTGTTCCTGAGACCAGGCTGCTAGCTACAGATGGCGTGTCTGTTGCTGTGATTTAGTTGTTCAGTATGTCAAGGCTGCGTGTTGCATGTGGCGAGACTGTGATTTAACCAGTAAGAGAGGTATGATGCGTAGAGAAGTGCATGGAGTTAGGTGTTTGTGCTTGTCCCTCAGGACTGGACACCTCGCCCAAGCCCTCCACCAGCCCCCCATCTCTGGGGTCCCCTGGTAGGAGGCTCCCTCCCCCGAAATCCCCCTCAGATCACCCCAAAGAACGCAAGCAGTCCTCCTCCGACGACAAGAAGAAGGTGGTGAGTGTGAGCCGATGTGGGGGTGCTGCCCGGCCTCGGGCTGCTTCGGGGATCTGTTCCCCAGCGGTACTGCAGAGACGCCCGCGGGGCCGGTGTGAGCGCTGGGCGCCGCTGCGGCCTCCTGGTGCGCTTACCGCCGTCACGCACGGGAGGCTTGACGGCCCAGGAGGACGGAAGGAAGCGGAAAGCCTCTCTGATCCGTGGTGCTGCATCCCTCCGGACGGAGCTCTTGAGCTCTTTCCTCCCACACGGGGGGAATGAGTGTCTTGCAGACCCACTGTTGATTAAAGGCGTGCCTGCTCGTACTCTCTAGGTATAACCAAATGTATGAAGATAGGCTCTCTGCGCCGCCCTGCCCTGCCGTCTCTGAGCGGGTCTGTGTGTTTCAGCACCGGGGGGGCTGCAGGGACTCCAGCTACTACTGGGAGGTGCACTGGCGCGAGGTGACCATGCAGAAGCGGATCGGCACCGGCTCCTTCGGGACGGTCTTCAAGGGCAAGTGGCACGGAGACGTGGCCGTCAAGATCCTGAAGGTCAAGGACCCCACTCCCGAGCAGCTGCAGGCCTTCAAGAACGAGATGCAGGTCCTCCGGTGAGCACAGCTGCACAGGACTGCCCGGGCACACAGGCCCTCCTGGGGCTCTTGGACTGGGCCGGGGCAGGACTGCCCGGGCACACAGGCCCTCCTGGGGCTCTTGGACTGGGCCGGGGCAGGACTGCCCGGGCACACAGGCCCTCCTGGGGCTCTTGGACTGGGCCGGGGCAGGACTGCCCGGGCACACAGGCCCTCCTGGGGCTCTTGGACTGGGCCGGGGCAGGACTGCCCGGGCACACAGGCCCTCCTGGGGCTCTTGGACTGGGCCGGGGCAGGACTGCCCGGGCACACAGGCCCTCCTGGGGCTCTTGGACTGGGCCGGGGCAGGACTGCCCGGGCACACAGGCCCTCCTGGGGCAGGGCTCTTGCAGCAGGTGGGGGGAACACTTTAATCACAGTAGCCCAGTTCCCTGACCCTGCAGCTGGAGATCAGCAGTGTAATTATGAAGAGCTTGCACAATCAGCGTGGACTTGTAGACAAATTGTGATTTTCTTGTTATTTCCAAATCTCCTCTCCTGTTCTGAAGTGCTTGGCAGGTTGGGGAACATTGTAGATCGTGAGACAGTGGTCCGTAACCGACCTCTTCCTCTCCCTCCTCCGCAGGAAGACGCGTCATGTCAACATCCTGCTGTTCATGGGCTTCATGACCAAGCCCAACTTCGCCATCATCACGCAGTGGTGTGAAGGGAGCAGCCTGTACAGGCACCTGCACGTCACCGAGACCAAGTTCGACACCATGCGCCGCATCGATGTGGCGCGGCAGACCGCGCAGGGCATGGAGTAAGTGTGGCCCCGGGTCTGTGCTGCCCGCTACTGGGCCAACTGGTTTCCTTCTCGCTGGCGGTACTGTTCTGCAGGCGCTCTTTCTCAGGGGTGCCGTGGATAAAGCCGGCTGTAACAGGTAGTGTTTCCAGACAGCGGCGCGGCAGGGAAGAGAAGATGACCCTCTCTGGGACGTGGTTTTCACTCCATGATGTCGATTCATGATGTCAGGCGCGATCATGCTCATTTATGGCCCTGTGCCATAGCTGCTGAGTCCAAAAGGCAACATCTCTGTGCAACAAGTAGACTAACGCTGTTTTTTTCCCCAGTTATAGACCTTTTACTTTTGCACATTTTGTATTTTATCTGTTTGAACCTAATTTCATAAAAACAGTGGGGAGTCTCCCTGGCTGAGCTCTGTGATCCCGGGTTTGAGGCTGGGTCGTGTCACTAGCCCACTGTGACTGGGATTACCCAAGCATTGGCGCATTGCTGGCTGAACACCAATAGCCAGCCAGGGCTCTCAGACACACAGCGCCCCCTGTGGCTCCCGGCCTGTCAGTGCGGGACGCTCCTCTCCTCCAGTCAGAGCTGGTCCTCACACAGCGCCCCCTGTGGTGTGAGAGGAAGGTGGGGAATCGGAGGGGTCGGCCTGCTCTTTCTCTCTCTCCTGTGTGCGGTCACAGGGTTTATTTTAAAAATGTTTAAATAACTTTTCAGGATCACTGCTGCTCAGGAGAGGATCGCTTGTTTGGACTAAAGGCCACTTTGCTTTGTGGATGAATTCTGCAGAAAAGTCTAGAGAATAATTGCTCGTTTAAGTTTGATCTTCACAGAGGTATGCAATTATCGAAAATAATTGATGTTCTTTTTTTCAGCTATCTGCATGCCAAAAACATAATCCACCGCGATCTCAAATCAAACAGTATCCTTTTAGTTGCTGGACTTGTGCTTTTTTATTCTAAAGTGATTACTTAACGACTTATCTTAAATGGTACCCGTTTCACTCGCTAAGGATTCAACTTTTTATCCGATTTGAAGTGAGGAATATTTAAGTCTTCTGCCTTTTTTTATGCATGTGTTATTTATCTTTTAATGAATTCTTGTTGTGTAAGGATATTATCCATTATCTCATTTTACCTGCCCTGCAAAGCAGATTTCCTAAAGTAAAGTTAGTTACAGGTGGTTCAGTGCAAAGAGTGTGACGTTGTACCAGGGGAAGGAAAGTTTAACATTTAATTTGAACTCCAGGATTTGATGTGCTGTTTCAGCAGATGGTTCTTCCAGTGTGTTTGAAGAGTTCTGATAAGCACAGCACTGTTTGCAGTTCAGTTTAATGGGGCTGTGCAACAGTGTTAAACAAGCAAACCTTTTCCTGTTGTTTGATGCACTGAGACGGGGGAAACGCCCGTTTGATTTGGCTCACTGGCCTCCAGCGTGCCCCTTGACTCCAGTCTCAGATATCTTTCTGCACGAAGGCTGGACTGTGAAGATCGGAGATTTTGGATTGGCCACTGTGAAGTCTCGCTGGAGTGGCTCCCAGCAAGTAGAGCAGCCCAGTGGCTCAATTCTGTGGATGGTGAGTCAGACTAACGCGGCCTCGTGCAAACGGGGTGTGTTTTAATCAAGAGTGTTGGCAGGGCTTTAGCATGGCTAACCCACAGCTCATGAGCCCTGGGTTTGAGTCTAACCTGGAGCACCTTCTGTGTGGAGTCTGTATGTTCTTGTGAGTTTACGCAAGGTAGTGCACAGCTGTCCTCGACACCTTCCGGTGACAGCCCTTGTGGGTTAATTATTGTCTACAGGGTGTCCCTGTGTGTGATCCAGATGAGTTCCTTACTTCTTAATTAAGCCCTTTATTGAGCTGATAAATGACTTAATATAACTTGAAATGTGCAATCAATTTGGGACAGAAAATGATGGCAAATGTTAATTAAGCAAATTGCTAATTAATTAGAATGCCCAGCTGGAGCATAAACCAGGATCATGAAGAGCAGGGATTTCCAAGCCCTCTTTTGGACATCTTTACAGCTAAGATGCGCTGATTCAGGGAGACATGCAATGTCCACAAGAGTTTGTTGGCAAGTACACCAGATGTGATAACGTGAATATCAGAAAACAGAGGCACTGTGCACAATTTGAAAAATAACACTGAACTAAAGCAGTCTAATAACGGAAGTACTTTGGGTACATGATCCATGTTCACAGTGTATAAGGGTGATTTGCAGATCACATCACCAGTGTGAGAACTAAATACACCACTGCAGCATGGTAACCGAGAGCTGAGGGACCGCAGGTGAGGTCTGTACAGGTGAGGTCTGCGCAGGAGCTGAAAGATGTCCAGGGACTGAGCCATCCTGATTTCGTTCCACCACCAGAAGTATAACATTCAGCTCATCTCAGTTGTTTCATTTTCAGCAGCTAATCAGTACCCTTGATAAATAACAGAATGTCAGCTTCAGCCACATGACCCAAGTGGCTTATTCCATAACCACCTCATGACAAACAACCTTTTCGAACCCCTCCAATCTGGCTTCCGTCAACTTCACAGCACAGAAACCGCCCTAGTCAAAGTCACCAACGATCTCCTAATAGCTTCTGATTCTGGTTCTCTTTCCATACTCATCCTTCTTGATCT